CTTTGCTCCCAGTTACTTTGAAGAATGCAAAGTAATTTTTATCTCTCTTTAAAAGTAATACAGGCATCCTGAAATTAATACACGCCTTGGAAAAACATGCATTTCCATTGCAGTGCCTCTGCTCCTCAGATGCATTGGATGATCGAAGCTTTTGGTCTGTTTCCCAATAGGTGAAGAGCATTATAACTGCATCTCTGCACTTCATAAATCTATGCGTGGCTCTGACGAAAATGCTTCCCTTTACTGGCTGGCCCGAATGCTTGAAGGGGGTGAGGATCCATTGTATGTGGCAAGAAGGTTGGTACGATTTGCAAGTGAGGATATAGGTGAGTAACTGAAGAGAATGTGAGTTTCTATGGGCACTTTTGCCTAGCACCCTTCTAGCCATTCTAGCGCTTTTATCTCCAACGCTGCACTCGGCCATTCAGCCTTTACTTCGAAAGTGCAAGTAACTGCCATTCTCCTTCTTACAATATAGGGCAAGTGGGAAGACCTGTCTCCAGGGCAACTATGAAGGAGCAGGTGACAGTTTTTGAGATATTTGCTCTAGAATTGGAGTTTGGCCAGAAGTCAATCAGCTCAGTTTTTATGAATTGCAGCTCTAACGTATCAGGAGAAGTTCAGAATATTACAGGCAGCATTATAACATTTGGAGTCATCCAACTGTTTAATAGGTATCCTTATGAACAAGGTATTTGGCTTATTGAAACTGGAAATGTGCTTGCCTATGCATCAGCTCATGAATCTACAAACCTACTGAATAGAGGGTATGGCTTCCGAACTATGATGCACTTGTCTAGCACAGGGTTTTAGATGATGACTATGGAGATCTCCAATATCAGAAGTAGTTGACTGATAAGATTCTAATGGGTAACTTGAACATTCTAAGATGAGAGAAATCTTTGCAGCCTGAGTCCCAGTGTTATTTCTTCTAGACTTGGGCTAAAGTCGTCCCTATTTCACTCGTCATCAAACAAGGCCTTTATATAGTGTTTCACATACATGACATATTCTACCGGTAGTTTCATTATGTTGGTAGCCTTTTGACAAGATGTCCATTTCACCATTGGTTGAGGGAGGTCAAAATGAACAAAACCTATCCACCTGTTGTCCTGTTGTTCACTTGGCTTGAAAAGAATAAAACTGGGGTACTCCATTTGAAACCAGAGATTAGTGTGCAACAACTAACCATTGATTGAAACTCATTTTTTTCTTAGTCACTCTGGTGCCCCTCATATGTACTGATAGCTTTTTATCCAGCTGCCTTCTAGTTTATCCCCAGAAAGTGCTGTATTCCTTGGGCTAAAAAAGTGAGCCTCAAAGGCTCATGAGCCAATTATATAGAAAGATATTGCCTGTTTCCCTAGTGGAATTAGAGACTGAATCATTTGTGCTATAGAGAAACCAGTGTTCATACCTTAATTCTTAGATATGAAGGATACAAAGGAGAATATGTATGAAAGCAAGTTTTAATATGTTACCATTGGCAGTTTTACCAGATAAATATATCCTGTTGATTTATTCATCAAACTTCTAGACTACCTAAAAAAAACCCACCCAGAAAATAATAACTGTCCATGGGAGAAACAAACCATCTTGCTTTGTCCTCCTCCATCAGTGTCCAGCCCAACTATCCAAATTCAAGGCCTAGGAGAAAATCTAGTGTTTTAAAGATCACTTTAAGGCAGATGCCATGTGAATCTCTAAAGGAGAGATGGAGCACCTGAAGGCCTGCCTCTTGGGTCTTACTAGTTGACTTTGCTTAATCAGTGAGGCCTGAAGGAAGTCAAGTCTTTTGAAGCACACAGGACAAGTAGTCCCTCAAACAGAAAGGCCTTGTGGCAGGTAGGGGTTTACTTGAGTTGACTTGACTTGATGTATCATATGACTGATTAGAATATAAAATTTCATTATAGGATTGGCAGATCCCTTGGCCTTACCTCAAGCTGTGGCTGCTTACCAAGGTTGCCACTTTATTGGAATGCCGGAGTGTGAGGTAATGTAATTTATAAACAACTAATATCAGAACTTTTAAATGTTCCTCTTTCTTCTATAGGTAGTTCTCAAACTTGCAACCATTCATTTGGCGACTACTCAAAGTTACAATGGCACTGAAAAAAAGGGACTTAAAACCAGTCCTCACATTTATGTCCATTGCAGCATTCCCATAGTCACATGAACAAAATTTGGGTGCTTGGTATTTACGATGGTTACAATGTCCTAGGGCTATGTGATTGTCATTTGTAGTCTTCCCAGCTGACTTCCAGCAAGCAAAGTCAATAGGGGAATGTGATTCATTTAACAACTCCAGTGATTTGATTAACAACCATGGCAAAAATATCATAAAATTGAGCATGGCTGACTTAACATCTATCTTGATTAACAATGGAAATTCTGGTACCAGTTATGGTTCTAAGTCAAGGACTATCTGTACAGTAATTGTGCTTCCTTATATTGCATATAATTACTAAACTAACTACTAATGTAACCTTGTATGTTTTTCCTAGGAATCTATGCCAATGAGTCCAATTTAGGAGATACAAAACCATTTAATATTCAGGGAATGGAATGTTCCAGAAAACTCTGGAAACATTCATACCTCTGATTCATGGCAATCATGTCATTCTGATGATGCTTTAGTAATTTCAAAAGTTAATTATTCTGAACCAGAAACCATTTGTAGTATTTAAAGACTGGACCAAGTATAGATTTTCACAATCAAGAATAGTATGACTAGAAACAGAACACTCCTAATAATGATGAAATGTTCCATTCCTGGAATGTTAAATTTTGCACATTCAGCATTTACTTTGCTCATAGGCCCTTTCTTCCTGTCATTCTGTCAATTCCACATTTTTCAATGAAATGTTGTAATCATACTCTCTGATGTCAAGTGTTCAGTGCAACATAGAGAAGTAGTTCTTGACTTACGACCCAATCTTGCCCAAAATTTACGTTGTTAAGTGAGGCAGTTATTAAGTGAATTTGGCCCCCATTTTACGACCTTTCTTGCTACAGCTTGAAACCAGGCTCAATAGCAGCAACTGTGAGAGGGATCTTGGTGACTTAGTGGCCAATCAGCTAAATATGAGCCAGCAGTGTGCAGCAGTAGCCAAAAAAGCTAATGCAATCCTAAGTTGCATTAACAGAGGGATACAATCGAGATAAGTGAGGTACTAATACCACTCTATAAAGCCTTAGTAAGACCACACCTAGAGTACGGCATCCAGTTTTGCTCACCACATTATAAAAAAATGTTGAGACTCTAGAAAAAGTACAGAGAAGAGCAACCAGGATGATTAGGAGACTGGAGACTAAAACATATGAAGAACGGTTACAGGAACTGGCATGGCTAGTCTAGTAAAGAGAAGGACCAGGGGAGACATGATAGCGGTCTTCCAATATTTGAGGGGCTGCCATAGAGAGGAGGGGGTCAAGCTATTTTCTAAAGCACCCGAAGGCCAGACAAGGAATAATGGATGGAAACTGAACAAGGAGAGATTTAACCTGGAAATAAGGAGAAACTTTCTGACAGTGAGAACCATCAACCAATGGAACAGTTTGCCCTCGGAAGTTGTGGGAGCGCCATCACTTGAGACTTCCAAGATTGGACTCCCATCTGTCAGAAAAGGTCTCCTGCTTGGGCAAGAGATTGGACTAGAGGACCTATAAAGTCACTTCCAACTCTGGTTATCTGTTACAGTTGTTAAGTGAATAACTGCAGTTGTTAAGTTAGTAACATGGTTGTTAAATGAAATGAATTGGGCTTCCGCATTGACTTGGCTTGTCAGAAGTTTGCAAAAGGGAATGCCAAGACACCCCTCCCCCCCAGGAATAAATATGAGTCAGTTTCCAAGCATCTGAATTTTGATCACTTGATGCTGCAATGTGTGAAAAGCATTCCAAAGCCATTTTTTTTTCAGTGATGCTGTAACTTGCAATCCAACCATCTTACAGAAATGAGTCTGAAGCCCGACACATATTCTGGCATTTCTCCCTGACTTGGCTGTACAGCGGCAATGCGATGCCGACGTTTCTCCCCAAATCAGCTGTGAATGGGCGATGCTGACATCATCCCTGCTGGCGGTGTATGAGAGAGCGTGACGGAGGTTCCGGAGTCACGTGCGGATCGCTCAGCTCTTTCGCAGGGATGCCGTGGTTGAATGGATTGATTTTCGCTTTTTGTTCACCCCTGCTCCGAATACCGCAAAGGAAGGGGGAAGAATATGACGGGATGTACCTTGATGGGAGGGGAAGGTTCTAAGCAAGTTAGGGGGAACGAGGGTTAGGAGGCAATAGGCGTAATTAATTAGGCACGGGGAGGAGGCGTGAGGGATTAGTTAATGGGCAGATATTAGGCTAATTGGGAGTGGTGGAGAATGGATATAAACAACGCTGAAAGGCAGTTGCTCTCAGTGCTGACTTAGCACGGACTTCCGTTGTTGTTGCTGATCATGATTGGAAGAACTGAAATAAACCTAAACATCACTCATCTTTATTTGTGAGTAACGTGATTTGTTGTGTAAAGTATCCAGTACTCGACAGAAGCCGACAGTCTACCTGCAGTACATTTCCCTTGCTTCTTTAATTATCCTTTTCTTTGTTTTGCATAGGTCTTACTGGCGCAGTGTGTGGTCTATTTCGCCAGAGCACCGAAGTCTATTGAAGTGTACAGTGCTTACAGTAATGTGAAAACGTGCCTAAGAGACCACCAAGGACCTCTTCCGCCTGTCCCTTTACATTTGCGGAATGCACCCACCAAGCTCATGAAAAATTTAGGTTATGGTAAAGATTACAAATATAATCCTATGTACAAGAATCCTGTAGAACAAGAATACCTGCCTGAAGAGTTGAAAGGGATTGATTTTTTCACACGAAGCAAAATTGGATAGAAAACTCTGTATTGTCCCACGCGATTCATATTAGTCCCATAATATTTTTTCTTAAAAGTTCATTTCAGTTTTAAGAAAAAATATTTTTCCAGGCTAGCCATATTAAACTGGTAGCCTCAAACTGAGATGCCTACCTTTTTGTATTAAATAATATGTATGTTAATTAAATCATCTTTGATACACATGAAATGATTTTGGGGGTATTTTATTGCTCCAATTCAAGGCAAAAAGCTGCTCAGCACAGATATAGATATATGCATTAATGTATAATGTAACATTAAAGTTCTTGAAAGAAACTACACTTTTCTACACTAATTGTGTAAGAGGAAAATATGTGTTCTGTTTAAGGAGCTGCTCCTTTTCCACTTGAAGTCCAAATAGCTGCACATTCCTGAACCATTTTGTACTACTAAAAATATTTTATTGCAAGTTTTATGCAAAATGTTAGAATTTTTTGATAACCTTGGATAAAATACATACGATATGGGTAAAAGGACAACTAAAATCACTTGATTTAATCAAGGATATAAAGGGCATTATGTCAAAAATTTAAAAATGAAAATTGCCCAGCTTAGCTAATATTAGGCTTTTTCAGTGGGACTGGTATAAGCACGGATATATATTTAATACAATCCATACAACTTAGAAAGGCCTAATTTTACTTGTGCCTTTGTTTGGAACTTAATTTATGCCAGACTGCAAAGAAATACTGCATTTGCACCTTAAGCTGAAAAAAAAATCCTTATAACTGAAATGTACCTTGAGAAATTTTGAAACTCTGAAAATAAAGTTAATTTAAAAACATTAATGCCTCCATTTTGCAAAAAGACTTCAATTATAATATTGTAAGTAGTCTGTTGTTTGGTATGCAGTCTTATACTGTGTTCATCTTATACTGATTTCATTTTGCTAGCCCAGAACTCCACCTGCAGATAGTTGTAAGAGGTTGGGAATGGGCTGGCCAGGGAAGGGAAAGTAGTCATAAAGTCAAGATCATTGGCAGCTTATCTTATAAATGACAGCGCAGGGGAAAGCATGAGGGGGCTTTCTTAAATATTTAAAGCAAGAATTCCTCTAAATCATCCAGGCAACATGAATTAAACTGAATTGTAGAAGTAACAACTCCTTCAAAATGTCACTAGAATGTCTTTATTTCACACCTGCCTTCAATAAAATGAACGCCTGAAGGATGAACAATATGTAGCTCAGATTTACTGAGCAGAGAGAATGTGGACAAAAAATATCAAAAAATTAGTAGATTGAGGTCACTGGTAATTTGTATGTGAACAATTCTGTATTTACTGAATGATAAGAAAAGTTGTAATTCTTCATAAGGTACTAGGACATGCACCAAATTGTTTTGTATTTTTAAGAACAAAAAAGTCACTTTCTGGATTTTATATTATCAATTATTTTCCAGGACCAAAGAGTCTGGACCAAAGACACTTGCATTATATTGAATACAAGCCAACTTTATTCCAATAATTCATATGTTATTCGTTTTACAGATACAACGCACAGCAGCTACCCCTTGCCTGACAGCTTCCAAACACCTCAAACTACTAATTCCTAGCTAGCTGGAAATTAAAGTGAAATCACACACACCTGAATACCTTAGATTAGAGATGGCTACTTTTCAGAGCAAAGTGCCACATAAAATCTGTTAACAGAAAATCAAGAAAATTAAAGATGGAAAACATCTGGAGCAGGGGGTGTCAAACTCACGGGCCAGATGCAGCATGTGCTGGCCACACCACCCCCAGTCTAGCAAAAGGGGGGGGGGAGTCGCAATACGTCATGTGACATGAGTTTGACACCCCTGATCTGGAAAAACCCAATTTGTTCAATTTCCTCCAAGCAGGCTGAGAAACATATATTTTATAGGAGGCTGGAAGTTGGTTTTATGACTTATGATACTCTTTATGGAGAAGCAAATCTACCAAGGAAAAGTATAGTGTTTGTTGGATTATGACGGATAAAAAATACGAAAGGATGGTCAGCAATAAAATTCTCTTCCATGGGCAAAGAAAATGTATTTGTAATTGTAGCAGCAGTAGCTGCTGCTGCTTCAGTGCCTTCTTCATTTACTTCTAGAAAGGACTTGTGAACTATTTTAGACACATGGAGACCCTGGGCTCCTGACATTCCAGACAAGTTAGCCTTGTCACTGTCAAACATATCTACTAGCCCCAATGCTGCAAAGTAAGATTTAAGATCATAGTTTTCTTCCAGCTGGAATTTAGGTAGATGAACATAGACGTCCACTTCAGAAATCATATTCTGGTTCCATTCTTGCAGTTTTTCCAAAGTAAGCTGCTGTTCCAGCTAAAATGGCAAAGAAAGGGAAGTAATTATTTGTATCACTGTGACACGATATTTCCATTTCAGCACAGGAAATGCCTTGCTGAAAAATAACCTCTCTGACTTCAGTGTAAACGAATTTGCAGAGCCAGGGTCTGTCTCTATGAGAGACAATTAAAAATGGCATTGAACTGATGGTTTCAAACAACCATCTTCAAACAAGATGGTTTCTGCCTCATGCTAAACTATTTGCAATTTTAACTTGTTCAGATGAAAAAACAAAATAATGCAGAGTTTATAGCATAATAAACATTATTAGAAGTAAACATAGATTTTTTTTAGAAAAGTATTTTAAGGCAAAACCATGGTTGTCTTGTCAAAATGTAATATAAAAAGCATTTATTTTATAGATACCTTACTGTTTACAATTTGAGATATTGTTTAAATCTAATTCAGATCTAATCTGTTTTCAACCCTTTCACCTGAGATGGTTAGGGATTCATAGTGGTACAAAAATGCAGAAAACTCTTAAAGATTTTCTGGAGATCCCCAGAATAAGGCAGCCTCTCTTCAGAATTCCACTGATGTACAGTGAAACGTCGGGTCACGGACGCTTCTGTTCACAACCAAATTGGGTGACGACTAATATTTGGGGAAACTGTTGCTTCTGGTCATAAACAGTTCCTCTGGTACAAATTAAATACAGCTGCAATGATTTCCCCTGCCACGCATGCGCAGTCTTTCTTCTGTTCGGGACCAAATCGGGCTGTGACCAAAGTCCTGGAATGGATTACCGTCATGACCTGGTATGTGGAGCCACTCAACATATTACATAAACCACAACTTTGTTCATAAATATGGGTGATCCTACCAAGTACTGTATTGATGTGATATTTAGAATAATTTTCTTTAGGACAATAATTTTATAGCAACAGCAAGAAAACAACAGAATCAATCACCTGTTCTAGGCCTGTGGAATTATCCTCAATGTCATCAGGCAAAAGGATGATCATGCTAAGATCCTCTCCCTTGTATGGCAGTTCCAGTACACGACAGTGGCATTCAGGGATATAACCAAAAGGAAGTTTCTCTTTCATAAACATCATCTTCACATTCTTCTTTTCTGTCTGCATTATTTTAAGAATATTACAGCGAGGAGCTTATCAAACAACAAAGAAATAAAGCTTATGTATGTATGTATGTTTGTATATATATATACATATACATATACACACACACACACACACACACACACACACATATATATATATATATATATAGTTATATAGTTATATATATATATATATAGTTATATATATATAGTTATGTATAGTTTGAGAGAGAGAGAGAGAGAGAGAACTGAAATTGATAGAACTAGTTCTGGGAAATAGATCTTTGCAAAGCTATATTATTATATAGCTGTTCTTTGGAATCATACAACTCTATTAAGCTAACTGAAATTCATTCCCAGATAAGGATAAACAGAAGTAAACCAACTTAAAAACTAAACCAAGGAGGAAAAAACTACCTATAGTATTAAAAAAAAACTGCTTTATTGTCCTTCATGTATTAGAGCAAGCAGACAAATGAGCCACTAAATTCAGTAAACTATTTCAGAATGGAATTAGATTTAACTTATGGGCAAGTTGAGTTTGTAACTAGTGATCAGGCTCAAAGGAATTGATATAAGGCTTTAAAAACATAACTACAGATAAGTTAGGATCATGTGTTCAGTGCCATCATAAAAGCTTGGATGTGATGCTTCATGAGAGTGTTTATTCCTACAGATGCCTAAACAATAAGCTATTGTTACAGAAAAGAAACATTATTTACCTTATTTAGTCTAAAAGGCTTGTCTTCAGTATCTTTTTCTTGAAATGCCTTTGCCCAGCTGCCTTTAAAGTAGACAGCATTCACCAAAACCAATTTAGTCATTTCATTGATGGATCCTTCAGATAACAAGTCAGGGATTTTACCTTGATGGAGAAATTTCACTGTTAATTAGCTGTGCAAAGAACTGAGACTTAAACAATATTACCAGATCGATGAGATTAATCTAAATGCACTTAAATGTACATTTCCCCTCTGCAATTATCTTATAAATATTTTCCTTTTAAAAATCCTGAATTAGCAAAAGCTGCTGTAAGTGACACTGACTGGCCATTTCTGTCATTTGCCTAAGCTGTCACATCTCCAGAATCGATCGATCAATCAATCAGAATAGAGATGGAAGGGACCCTGGAAGTCTTCTAGTCCAACCCCCTGCTCAAGCAGGAGATCATTTCAGACAAATGACTGTCCAGTCTCTTCTTAAAAACCTCCAGTAATGAAGGACTTACAGCTTCGGCCAGCAAGGTGTTCCATTGGTTAATTGTCCTCACTGTTAGGTAGTTTTTCCTTAGTTCCAGGGTGCTTCTCTCCTTGATTAGTTTCCATTTATTTTTTCTTGTTCTGCCCTCTGGTGGTTTGGTGAATAAGCTGACCTCCTCCTCTTTGTGGCAACCTCTCAAAATAACGAAATACTGCTATAATGTCACCTCCTAGTCCTTTTCTCCAGACTAGCCAAACCCAAAATCAACCCAATTTAAACTAAAACCCTCTTTTTAATCAATATTTTAGTCAAAACATTCAGTGTTTTTTAAAAATTCTGTTGCTGAGGTAAGGTTAACCCCAACACTCCTGGCCTTCTAGAAGAGTCTTAAAATCTGACTCTGCTGCCTGGTCTGGAGCCCCAACAGGAGGGTTCTATGCTGGGGGCCGGGAGTGGTGATGGCTGATGGGATAGAGAGAAGATCCCCATCTTCGTGTCTCCTGTCCTCTTGGTTTTTGGTCTATTTATTCTTTCTAAATTTTAATTACACTGTGTGCACAATTATTAGGCAAGTGAGTGTTTGGCCATGTCATCATTTTAATTCAAATTTTCCACCTCCAAGCTGTATAAACTTAACTACTTAATGGATATAAGCATATCAGGTAATGTGTACTTGTGTAATGAGGGAGGGTGTGGCCTAAAGAGATCAAGGTATGTATAATTATTAGGCAGCTCCTTTTCCTCAGGCAAAGTAGGCCAAAAAAGAGATTTAACTGACTCTGAAAAGTCCAAAATTATAAAATGTTTTTCAGAGAGATGCAGCATTCTTGAAACTGATAAGATATTGGCGCGCGATCACAGAACCATCAAATGTTTTGTTGCAAATAGTCAAGAAACGGGTTAAGAAAAAAAGATGCACGTTAATTGCGAAAGATTTGAGAAGAATCAAATGTGAAGCTACCAGGAACCCATTATCTCCAGTGCTGTTATGTTCTAGAACTGCAACCTACCTGGAGTGCCCAGAAGTACAAGGTGTTCAGTGCTCAGAGACATGGCCAAGGTAAGGAAGGCTGAACCCAACCACCACTGAACAAGACACATTAGTTAAAACTGCAAGACTGGGCCAAGAAATACCTCAAGACAAATTTTTCAAAGGTTTCATGGACTGATGAGAGAGACTTGACAGACAAGATGGATGGGCCCATGGCTGGATCAGTAACAGGCACAGAGTTCCACTTTGACTCAGATGCCAGCAAGGTGGAAGTGAGGTACTGCTATGGACTGGGATTACTAAAGATGAGCTAGTTGGACCTTTTCCAGTTGAAGATGGACTCAAAATCAACTCCCAAACATATTGCCAGTTTTTAGAAGACATTTTCTTCAAGCAGTGGTACAGGAAAACGTCTGCATCTTTCAAGAAGACCATGATTTTTTTACGCAGGACAATGTTCTATTTCATGCACTCCACTGCATGGCCAGCCAGTAAAGACCTTAAAGATGAAAGAATAATGACATGCCCCCTTCCTCACCTGACCTACACCCTGTTGAGAACTTGTGAGCTCTTCTTAAACAGGAGATTTACAGTAAAGGAAAACAGTACACCTCTCTGAATAGTGTCTGGGATTGTGGTTGCTGCTGCACAAAATGTTGATCGTCAACAGGTCAAGAAACTGACAAGACTCCATAAATGGAAGGTTTATGATTGTTATAGAGAAGAAGGGTGGCTATATTGGTCACTGATTTTTTTTCTTTAAATGTTTATTTATACATTTTGAGTTGTTTGTTGTTTATTCTCACTTTAACAGATGCAAATAAACAAGATGGGCAATTTTTCATTTTCTTGCATAATAAGTCTGCACACTGATAGTTGCCCAATAATTGTGCACACTTAGATACTCTTCCAAGAAAGTAAAAGCCTCATTTTTACTTTCTTAAATATTCAGGTTTGAAATTTTAATCTCACCTTCAGTCTGTTGTTCTACCCATTGGTTAATTACCATTTGATTGATTGAGAGCAGTTGTTCAATAATAAAATTAATCCTCCAAAGTACAACTTGCCTAATAATTGTGCACACAGTGTATTTTGTATTTTATCCCCAATGTCACTTAAAGATAAGCAGCATATAAATGTAATTAATAAAATAAAAGAATGTGAGTTGCATTAAGCAGACCCTTTAATATATAATGTCCACTTTCTAAGTATTGCTCAGGAAATAGTCTAAGGGCAAGGACAATGTGGAACTTTAATTTATTGTCGGCTGTATATTGTTCCCAAACTTGTATTTTATCAGACTTGTTATGCTGGCCCAAAACACCTTTTATCAAGATACATACTGCTAACTGGATCCCTTATTAACCACTGTACAAGAAGGACCCATTCTATATGATTAACTATTCCAAACTATTACCCAAGAAAAGATAAAACTATAGTTGTTAAAAAAAATTTTAATCTCACCTTCAGTCTGTTGTTCTACCCATTGGTTAATTTCCTCTTTTGCCTTGTCTGGGGCATTTGAGAAGTCTACTTTGGATAATTCAGATCCATACAAATTCTGGGTGTTAGTCAAGAAATCCTAGCAAAATGAGACATATAATATTTATAAATGATAAAATAAATGATAAAATAAATAGAATTATTATGGATAGCAAGTGGGGAAGCATTTACATTTAATAAATAATAAATAATAAGAATTGCCATCTCCAATCAATTGGAGATTCAATTAATCTCCCTGTTCCTGCTTGGCAGCCTTTGCTTTCATCATCCCTCATTCTCTAGAATTTTCTAAGTGCATTTAAGCACATAACAAGAACTCATAATAGCACAATGAAGACATATCTATCGCTTTCTTAAAGGCTGACACAGTCTGTGTTGAAGTTTTCCAATTCACTGTCATGATAATCACATTCAGGCTGAAAAACACAAGAAGCCTGAAGGAAAAAGTGGACTATCCTGAGTGAGGTTTTGAGTCTACGCCTCCCAGCTCTTCTTCAATACTTTAACCATGATAAGAGATTAGCATCGTTTGTTTCAACTGAATGTAGCCTGAACAGAATGGTCTTTGAAGAAAGTTTATTCTTCTGTAAAGAGATACATATTATGCGTACAAGTTGTAATGTAATTGGAAAATCTGGATCTAGCTAATAATGTTAGTTGCAATGCTTCTACATTTTGCAAGAAACATGACTGTATATGGATAAAAGAGAGAAAAAGAATGAACCTGTAAAACTTCATATTTCATAGGCTGGGATGGAATGTGCACCTGGAGAAGCAATAGAGGGTGGGGGTAGGAAATTTTAGCAAAACACTGAGTTTTCCCAGAGAGACACGCAGATTAAGAGACTGTGCAATCCCCAAATGGAGGAGGGAATCTCTGGAATCTCTCGGGATATAATAGGTTAGATGGTTATAACTTTCATTTGGCAAGATTCTATCCATTAGGTATAAGAAAATGAATGACTGGATGTGATTGGCTCTCACTGTATTGTCTTTGGGCCAGGCTGACCATAGCAGACCTAATTAAAAGAAATTAAATATTCACTTAAAGCAAAGAATAACTATGAATAACTGTATTGATGAATATCATAGTCTAATAAAATTTGAAACTGACCTATAAAGCAACTCTGATGACCCATACATTATTGATGTTTATTTATTTAGCAATCTACTTACAGACAAAAAGTTGAAAGTTTTTTCTCCGTACAACCTATTAGCAAGTTTCAGAATATAGGGTGCATCGCTCCAGTTAATTTTAGCATTGAGCGTGTGAAATACTGAATGAAGGTCTTCAACACCATCAAAATGAAGTGTCTGCATGGAAAAGATACATCCTAACTTAGTACCAATAAGAACAGTGAAATTAGGGTTAGTTCAAAAATAATTTTGTCTAAGAACAATGGAGACATTTCAGAAATCTACAAGCCACATAAACAAATAGTATGAAGGACTAATTTCTGCAAGCTTAGGTTTCATCTTAAAAATGGTGCATACAGTATTAATACAATGGGTTATACATATACGAGGAAACACGGGGGATTTACCAAAGTCTGAACATGTTTACCATATATTCTGTCTTGGGGAAGTAACAAAACAGGTGGCTTTATTCAAAATTACCTTAGGGTATCAGTTACAGAATCACACACAAAACACACAAAAACTGGTACAGATAAGGAAAAAGTTGAATATTAGTCTGATTTTTCATAACAAATGATTTTTTGATAAAGCATAGCAAGAGACTAGAGAATGATTCCTTTGAATGCAACGGAGAGTACCAGAATTTTATTTCCCATTTGTGCATTTAGTATAAGGGGCTGACACTGTCACTTGAAGACCAAAATATTAATTCCCCATAGAGGCTAAAAGTTTGTGGGAAAAGAGCTATTGCTTTCATTTATCACCACCTACTTCAATTGCAGCCAATGGTATGAATCTGTATGCTGAGTTTGCTTGGGACATGGCGAAAAAAAGGGTATTACTTCTTTGTATTTTTGTATGTATCAGTTTTGTTCTTATATCCTTATTCCATACAGGTTGGACAACTTTATGTTGAAAATCTAAACCAAGGGTTTTCAAACTTTTTCACAAAGTGTAACTGTCAGTTAAAAATATAATTCCCAGACCCGCTGATCAATATGCCAACTTTAGTAATAGAACCCCCCCACATCTGCCTGTCTATATCTATGTATCTATGTGTCTGTCTGTCTATCTATCATCTGTCTATATCTATCTATCTATCTATCTATCTATCTATCTATCTATCTATCTATCTATCTATCTATCTATCTATCTATCCATCCATCCATCCATCCATCCATCCATCTATCCATCTCTCTATCTATCATCTTTATCTATCAATCTATTCCTTATCTGTCTGTCTGTCTGTCTGTCTGTCTGTCTGTCTGTCTATCTATCTATCTATCTATCTATCTATCTATCATCTATCATCTATCATCTTCTATCTCCATCAACTATCTATTGCCTTATTCTCTGGAAAGTTGTTTGTTCAGCAGAACCCTAGTAAAAACCCTGCAATAAATCACGAAAGAAGAAACATTATTGATCCTTTGTCTTACTAATTTTTTTTGAAGTCCTAACTAAATCGTATTAAATCCAAACATAACTCCCTTGTACAAGAGGCGGTCTTTCAAATATACAGCTTGGAAATACAATTCTTGTTAGTGTTTGGGGATAAACCCCCTAGCAGAGTGTGCAGCAGCAGTCAAGCCAGGCAGGCAAATGAGAGAGAGAGTGGGCCCAAGAGTATACACACACTGGAGACAAAAACACTGTTTGTGGTTTTAAAATAGTTATTTAATACACACAGAGATTAAGAATTGTCATTCAGTCCATATATCATTATCCAGTATATCCATCCAGTTATCAAGTCCATTAACAGTAAATACAATGTTCTTATCTGCTTGAATATCTTCTCCTCCCGATACCTTTCTCTCAAGGACAACGCTGAATCCTCAGCTCACCAAACAAACAGTCCTTGTGTTCAGTTGAAATGGTATCTGGCACAGTAGCCATCCAAAAGTAAGCAGATAGACGTTCCAGCACAGCAGGCAGCAGACCAGGAACAGAACCAGGTGCATCCAGAAGCCGGGGCTATTACGTTTCCCTTCCTACCTATATTACTGCCTGCAACTGCACCCACAATGACATTGCAGTTTCTTGTGCTTAAAGCTACATAGACACTTAATCCTAGGTTTACATATTTATTCAACCCAAACCTGGTTGGTGTATCCATATACCCAACAATTCTCCTTACAAAAGAGGCAGAATTCCTCATAGCAGCCATACCACCGTGAGAAAAAACAAACAAACAAACATCTGCTGACCTTCGAGAGTTCCGAGGCTGTGTTACCCCGGGCCCCTAAGGCGATCATGGCCAAAGCGGAAGATATACTGATCGGAGAAAAGAAAACGTTGTCGGTTGGGTGGGCTTCGGTCAACTGTTGGAAAAGATCCAGGGCAAATTGCGACTTTGCATTAGCTAGTTTATCCATGGTGACCACGGGAAAGCTTGAAAACAAGCAAAACGAAAGAAAGAAAATTATTTCTGAGGCACCTTGGAAATTATAGCACCAATAGAGAGAACGACGAGGGGAGAAGCAAGCGCAAGCTTTAAATGCCTTAAATCCCACCCTTACCTGCCGAGAGAAGAGCAGCGGCGATGCTGAAGGTGCGTTGGACGCGCAGAGAGCCGCTCCCGCGCAGATTTCCGGGCTTGAGGTTGCGCGGAGGGGAGTGCCGGGGCGGTTTCTGGCGCTGGCGCTGGACTCTGACCTTCCCCAGGTGGTGGGGGAAACCTCTGAACCAGGTAGGCTTCGAAAGTTGGAAGGCGTGAGAGGACGAGCCGAGATAGGAGGAAGGGTTGGGCTGATCTCAATTTGCCTACGTCCGAAGGCAGAACCTCCAATACACAACAACCTCCACATAGCTCACCCGCAACCTCCACATAGCTCACCCGCCCCAACAGCAGAAGCTCGTGGGAATGACTTCTTTTTAATTTTTGTACATCCATTTTCTTCTTATATCCTTACTCTATACAGGTTGGACTATATGCGGAAAATGTAAACCAAAAGTTTTCAAACTTTCTCATAGATTACATCTTCTGTAAATTAAAATAAAATTCCCAGAAACTGATCAATAGGCCAAATTTAGTTCTAGAAAATTGGCTGTCTGCCTGTCTATCATCTATCTATCTATCTATCTATCTATCTATCTATCTATCTATCTATCTATCTATCTATCTATCTATCTA